TTTCATTACATTATGATGTCTGTAGACTGTGGTCAATATCTTAATTCAAACTTGTAACTGGGACTCTTTAGAGAGCCCTAAGACTTCATTTGTAATGACTATTCACTTTGACTCAGTTAAAGGACAGCTGGTCTCCAAATACTCCTTCTCATGCACATGAGCAGGCCTACATCCCTGACTTCTTTTCTCCAACCATTTTAATGCAGAACTAGAGCTCCACAGACTCAGTAAAGTGCAATTAGTAATCCTGAACCTCTAACTAATGCCTCAGTGTTTTCATCTCCTCTTGAACTGTGCCTGCTTAGTGGTAGCAATTATTTGAAAAACATTCTGTTCAATAAAAAGCACAGGCATCAGTCCTCAGGATTCCAGTCACCCTTCCAGACTGACTAAATATTAGTTTAAACATTTGTTGCAAAGAGAGCTCACTTTCCATACCATAGGTTTGGGAAACTTAAAAGGACAGTTACGTTCAGATATATTACCAGCTTCTTGAGGTCTATATAGTATAAAGAGCTGCACTTGCTTAAACTACTGAAAGTGGTACAATCCAACTAGTGGAGATGGCAAAAGTATTTCTACCATTTAGATGGATGGTGTTTCCTTAGCTCCAGACTTGCATTTCCACTACTAGTATCACCCATAACACAACAGATTACCCATTTTAAAAACAGGTCCTGAAAAAGTCTCAGAACCAGATTTTTAAAAACGTGAGATCTTTTTGTGGGTAAGCAACCATGCAGATAAACAGCAGGGAGGTTAACACCCTAAATTTCCCATTTATTATTGCTTTAACTAGATTTAAATAACAAGCTTGCGTAACTACCATTAAAAGGCTGTAAGCTTATGTCTTCCCTCTGACACTTAATACACCAGAAACAGATCTGAACCTAAAAAGTTCAGAAGAAGACAAAAATTCCATCAGCCCTAAAATATCCTGCCATACAGTGTACTGTGCAATATTTTCTGTTAATAGATTGCTTACTTCTATTCAAAACCAAAGAAAACAATATAAAACATACTGAATAGACCAAACATACATAACACAACACATGGAAAGTCAATATTAAAAAAAAAAAAAACCAACAAAACAAAGCAACCCGGAAAAAAAAAGCCCCACCCACATTCTGAATGGTTATTCCTAAACCATATTGCTAAGACTAAGTAAGTTTTTTCATACATAAAATAATCAAATAGCCATGAAAACTTTTGAACATTTTTTTTTAAATGATGGCCATTTAAAAGTCAAACTCTCAGGAGTTATTTTTTAATGCAAAGCATGTTATTCCTCTAAACTTTTTGATTAGACCTTTCTACTTTTGCTGACACATAGGTATATTAGTCTAGAAAAACATTCTCCATCAGAAAACAAAACTACAACAGATCACTGTTTCTGACAACAATCCCCCAGCCCCTGGGAAATTGTTATAAAAAAAAAAATCCCACTTGTTCTGCAAAGCATCTGTCTCAAAAGAATTAAATGCAATTCACATTCCTAGCCCACAAACCATGCTTAGGAAAAACACAACACTTTTCTTTCTCTCATATAACAGCTATGAAAGCATACATGAAAGATAAAACCTTATTTTGTCATCAACAATAATTATAACACCTAGTTCAGATACAGCATCTTATTAGATGCATTCAAACAGTGATAAATGCATAGTCTACAATACCCCTCCATTCCTTCCTCTCACCTAAAACATTCATGTGCAGTTATTTTATATAACAATCAACTCCAGTTGGCACTTTTATTAAAGGAGGAGGTTAAAAAAGCTAAACTGTATAAATGCAAATCATTTTCTATACACAAGTTCCCAAAAAAACTCTATGCAGTTCCTACAAAATCATTCATTTGAACTTACTCCTTTTTGAAAACTTTGGGTGCTGTAAGCACCCAAGACTTAAATCAAGATCAAACCATCATTTTATCTCCTACTGCAAAAGGTCTAAGTCTTTTCTAAGTCTCTTTACTGTGTTTCTATGCCTGACCAAAAAAAAGAAAAAATTTTTAAAAAAGGAAAAAGCATCCACAATACTTGCTAATACTTGGAACAAGGGCAAGGGGAAAGAATTGAAGAAAAGGGTTAACATTCTGCTTTGTTCTGAATCTGTTAATTTGTCTACAAACAAAAATATTACTCACCCCACCTTCCCCCAAAAAGTCTAGTATTTTTTTCAGACTTGCCGAAGTGAGTAGGTGCCTCACATAAGTTAAAGTAGAGACAGTAAAGCTTCATAAAGTTTAAATAATGACATCTTCAGCAAAGGTCTGTACCTAGCAGCACTCCTGAAACATTATCATTTAAACTTCTGCTAGTAAATGCAGAGTTTTGGTTTTGTTCAATTTTAAGTTTCTCAAGCCACAGAGCTTCTCTGAGCTACTTTCTGAATAAAAAGAATTTTAAGATTTCAGAGTAAAATAGTGCAAATTAACAGGTTTCTCAGAAACAGCAACAATGGTTCAAATAGGTAAATATCTAATAAATTTAAAATTACCATTTTGCTCTCAAGCATGAGTCCACAAATTACTTCAGTGAAGGCTAGTGAAGATATGAAATCCTCACTCCCAAGAAGTCTTTCAGCTTTCCACGTGATACAGAGAGAGGAACACTCAACCTTGAGCATGCAACAGCAAGTTTTCATTTTTGTTTTTCTGGGGTAAAGCAGCTCTGAATGACTGAGTTAACTACTAGAGTCAAATAGAAGTTTAGAAAAAGTTAGTAACAGGACTCAATATGCTCTATCCAAGGCTTTTGCTTTTTAATGTCTTACATACCTTAACAATTTGCTCCTGAAGTTTCACAAGAGGCAAGTAAACAAGCAGATCTCTAATCCCTTAGGACTAATCCACTCAATAAAATATTAACGGGAATTCAAACAGATTAATTTAATGAACCACTTCTCTGAAGAAAGCCCCACACATGTGAACTACTTTCAAAATACCACGCAACCTTCAGAACAAAGTCACATTTTACACGCTGCAGTAAAGTGAAGAGCATCTAATGGACTTGGAACAACTGCATCTCACCAAAGAATTAGATCTTTCAAACTAATACCAAGGTACATCACTTAGTCACACTGAATTCCTTTCACTGTCATTGCATCTATACTGTCAGAACCCTAGTCAATTTACATGAGATTTCACTTTTCCTCTGCTTTACAGAAAATAAAAATCCCTCTGAACCCCACTATTAAGGCTGTGATTACCCCCTTTGGAAAATCCTACTCTCTTACACAGGAAAATTACAAGACAAGTCACTTAAACCAGGTTACTTTCACTGAGGAAATGCCTGAAGAATCACTACAAGAGACCAACTCTACTGGCACATCCAACCAGCAGCTCCTGGATGACAGTCTGCAGTTCGGGCTCCAAAGTTAACACAGCAGGTCAACAACTATGTCTGGATAGTTTAAAATTATTCAGTTTGACTCAGCTCAGGCACACACAACCAAAAGTTATATCCAGGTTACTGCATCTTCACAGATGCCACATTTGCTGCAGTCTCTACAAAAAGCAAGACATGCCTTATAATCAAGCTGAGCCTGGAAAAACAGGGAAACAACAGAGGATGTCAGTTCTCAAGCAGTCTAGTAAAAGGGCTTTCATTTAAGCTGATAAACAGTACAAATGTGAATCACACCATGATCTAGGTTGAAAATATCGCCAAATTTTTGTCAGCTCAGGGTAAGATTGAAAATAAATGCGAACATTCGTAAGTGTAATTATCTAGAAGGAAAAGATACTTTATCTATAAAATTGTTACCTGCTGCCAGTTTGATGTAAACATACATGCAGTCTTATCAAATGCTTTTAGAACTAGTAGGCTAAAGAGCTCATACATTGAAGGACATTATGCATGCACCTCATTTTTTACATTCAGTAGTTCAACTGAAATATCATCACTGACAGTGGTGAGTATGCTCCTATACAGGTTCGGAGGCTTAACTGCAGAAGTGTGGAGTGAATGCAAGTAAAATTATTTTTTCTTTCAATAATAACTATAATGCAGCTGGTGACTTTTGTGCAAACTCTACATAACTATGATAATAAATATGCATGGCCCACCTAAAGAAAGTATGATTTGTTAAACTACTTACTAACAAAACCACAGAAGCACAGTCTGCTATAAACACAAAGAAGACAGGCTGGAGTTAGAATGTACTGGGAATGGACAAACACATCAATAAAACAAAAAAGTTCAGCCACAGGCAGTTAGCAGTCAATGTGCAATTCCAAAAAGACTGTGCTGTTTTCAAATACAATCATGAAAGCTTCCTGACACTGGCTTCAGCCCGCTTTTTTGAGACAGTGACTGTCAACCAACAATGACATTGTTAAAACCTAAGCAATGCAATCAAGGAACTCTAATAATGATAAATCTTGGAAGATGTAGGGAATAATCACAGAAAGCCCTCATCTTTGTGTTCAAGAAACCGTCTGCAATGAGCAGAACTGAAAATACCCAAAGGTGTCATAGTTCCTAATCTTAGAATTGCTTTCAACACTTTTTCGTGGCTCTGCTAACAGTCAGCACCTGGGTGCAGAACAGGAGCCAGCTCCGAGACGGAGCCAGCTCCAAGACCAAGCCAACGTGATTTATCAGAGGCTTCTGTTAATAAACAACCAGGGCCAGGCCAAGAGCAAGTGTGAATTTCCTCCTTTTCCCCGGGAACACGTACATGATCAGCCTCCACCCTCTAAGCAGGGAGCCCGCTGTCACACACAAACAGGACTGTAACCTGCGTCCCCAGCCCTCCCCCTACCCCCCCCTCGCCGCTTTCAAACCAGATGCGCAGCACGAACCAGCCAAAGGGAACATGGCAAGGGGCAGCGGGAGGGTGTGGTTTGACTATTACATTTTTTTTTTTTTTTAAAGGACAAAACCCAGCCTCTCTAGGCCATCAAAAACATCCACTTCATTAGGCAGAAATTACCCTCTGTGTTTTTCCAGTACAACATGTGAACTCGGGTCTACGAACCTGCTCCTGGTATTTACCTTAGGGGGCGGGCTTGCAGCCTGCAGGCTCGGAGAGCCAAGGCGCTCCGTCCGTCACGCCCTGGGAAAGCCACTCCGGGGATTGCACCAGCAACCCCGAGTGCCGCCGCACTATAAGCAGCAGGTTGCTTTGTAAGAGGCGCCTTCTGCACAAAGACGATTTAAAGAAACAAACAAGCTAGCAACAAAAAAAGCGTCCAACACCGGGCTTTTCAATCCTCCACCACCAGCCGCCTGTATGTACTGTTAAAGTCACAGACAGACAAAAAAAAAAAAAAAAAAAAAAAAAAAAAAAAAAAAAGCCCAGGGAGGTACCCGGGTACCCGGCGTCGGGCTCGGGACGGAGGCAGCTCCTGTGTTCTCGCCCTTGCCCGCCCCGTTTCGCCACCTCCATTCCCAGCGGGTTTCTCCCCTGCCTCGGAGCCGCCTGTCCCGCGGGGTCACGGCGGCATATGCCTGCGGGAGGGAACAGAGGGAGGAGGGACGGCTCCGGCCCTGCGCTCCCTTCCTCTCCCCGGCCGCTGCAACCTGCCTTCACCCGGGCACGGCGAGGGGCCCTCGCTGCCTACCGAGGCGCGGAGCCCTGGCCGCGGACAGCGCAGGAGAGCCCGTGTCCGAGCCGCCGGCCGGGGCGAGGGAAGGCGCGGGAGCCCGGCTGCCGCGGGGCGCGGCCTGGCCAGGGCGCGGCGTCTCACCGGGCCGGCCGGGCGGGAGGCCCTCGCCGGAGTCGCTCACCTCGGTGGGGTCGCTGATCTCGAACAGGTCCAGCCGGTTCGCGTTCCAGTGGTTGATAATGTCGGCGAGTTTGCGCCGCTCCTCCTCCCGGCCACCGCCGCCGCCCGACATCCTCACCGAGCCCGCCGCCGGGGAGCCAAGCCGGGGCCAGGCCCTCTCAGCCGAGCCCCGGACGAAGCGGGGGGTCCCTCAGTCCCGGCCGAGCAGGGGAGGGACCAGCTCTCCCAGCGGCCGCTGCCGGCTCAGGCGCTGCGGAAACGCCCCGGGATCGTGCCGCCGACAGCGATCAGCCCCGGCGGACAGTGGGGAAGGAGAGAAAGAGAAGGGGGAAGGGCGGGGAGGGGAGGGGCGGGGAGGAAGAGGAAGGATGCCCAGAGTCGGCAGCGCCCACCGTATCTCCCGGCTCGGCAGCGCCTGTGGCCGTTCGCCTGCCCTGAACCAAGCGAAGCCGCCACTGCCGCCGCCTTTCTCCGCCCTGGGATCGCCCTCCCCTCGCTCTCTCCCTCACACACCGGCCGTGCGCGCCCCCGCCCGGCCGCCCGCCCTTCTCCTCCCCTTCCCGGGCGTATGCGCGCCTGCGCGCGCTCCCGCCGGCTGTCGCCTCTCGCCGGCGCGCGCCTCCGGAGTGCCCTCTGTGTCCCGCCTTCCCCTCTCGCCCCCCTGCTCCCGCTGGCGTGTGGAGGCGCCGGGGCCCGGCGGTGGCCGGGGCGGGGCGAAGCGCGGCCAGGTGCAGCGGGAGTCCCCGCCCGGCGGCTGGGGACAGGCGGCGGCGGGGTCAGCCCGGCCCGGCGGGGAGCACGGTGCCGGCAGGAGGCTCCGCGGGAGAAGCGGCGGGAGCCCTGGGCGCCGCCTTAGCGCCGGGCCCGCGGTCGGGCTGTGGTTCCAACAAAGAGCCGCCGCGGCCGCGGGAACAAAGACCCTGCAGGCGGATCCCGGCGCGGCCCCGCCGTAGCTGCCCCGCGCTAAAGCGGGCAGGCGGAATGTCGCCGCTGCCCAGCCCTCCCTGCCCCCGGGCGGAGGTCAGGGCGCACGGCCCAGGGGGTGGCTCCAGGTCAAGGCCGCCCCCTCGCCCTGCGGCGCCTCGGTCGCCGCCGTGCCTCGGCGTCTCCCGGCACAACCAGGGAATCGACGCTCCGCTGCTGCGTTTGATATTGGTTATGGATTGCCTTGGGAGCGCCGCGTGAAAGGAATTGTCTAAAAAGGCTGTATTGACAGAAATTTCCACAGCTTGAGATAAACCTGATAAGAAGTTAAATCATCAGATACGTTTTAATGAATTTTAGGCACGTTGTTTTTCTGTCGTTTCTCACAAAATGTGTCAGTTGGCCCTACGAGGCATTGTCCATTGTGTAGACATTGGAATTCAGTCCAGATCTGGGGGTTTGGCTTTGTTTCTTAACCCGCAGAAGTAATGCATCCTGATAGTTCAGTGATCGTATTTGTTGTGCTTTGGGCATCCTCTGAAACTTAATACTTGAGCAATACTGTTTGAACTCGGTTGTCCAAGTGTGCAACTTTTTTGGTTTCTTCGAGTGGTTAAAAAGGGAGAACTACTGTTTCCTTTTAGCATACCTGACAAAGTATTTCAAGTTCCTCTTTGCTGAGGGAGTTTAGGGGAGTGAGTTGCTGATGAAGTTTTGACTTGGCTGGGTTATTTAAAGAAGAAGATTCCTCAGAGGCCTTGTCTACATTAAGCAATTAAATTCTTGCTTTTATCCAGTAGTACAGCACCTGTATAACTACCAGAAGTTCTGGTTTTACAGGTGAAGGTCAGTTATACTTTTGCCCTACATATGTAACTGTGCCATATTCAGGCTTTCCAGTTCCAAGGGCAGAAGGGATTCCGTTTTTTGGGACCCAGACCCAAAAAACCCAGTCCCCTTCAATACTTTGGGAGGTGTTGAAGGCCTGTCTGAGCCCTTGAAGAACCTAGCGGAAGTCAGGGGAGACACACAAAACCTCAAGTTCTTGTAGTGCCATTATACTAAGGCTATACTGTATTCCTATTAGATGTAAAGTGTAGAGAAAAGGAAAAATCAGACATAACCCTTCTTAAATAAAAGGAATGGGGGGGAAAAGCCTGATTTTTTTTTCTCAAATCCAGAGTGTGCTACCAGATAGCATTGGATGTTTTGCAATACCTCCCGGAAACCAAGTATCACATCTGTGACATGATAGCTCACTACCCAAGAGAGATATCTCCATGCTCTGTCACAGATGACATTTGCAGAATATTGTGCTGGATTTTATGCTTGGTTCTGTCTGCATATTGGTGAAATGGGTTGCTTCAATTCACAGAGTGAGAAACAGTGGCTATATTGCTTCAGGAATAGAAAGGAGACATAGGTACAGAGTGTGCATAGAAGGACGTTTTGCTGTTACAAGCTACATAGATAAAATTGGTTTTCCTGGGGAAAAGAGGTGGTTGCTCTGGGAAAATTGGCTACTGAAAGAAGCTGATTTAGCGTTGCTGGCATACCTGGGTTTTCAAATGCCAGGGATCACCAGGAATGAAATTAACACTATGCTGGATCCATACAGTGGATACAATCGGCTGAGAATTTATTTATTTCTATTTGAACTGTGTCTAGTCAGCATTTTTAAACCATAGCTAGACTCCAGCTTGGATACAAACAAATCCCACAAATGGAGCAGAATTGGAGCAGGCTAATAATGTTTAGATGTGACTTTTCAGAAATCCAGAGTAACTACAATGTATTTCTGTGTAGCAGGAGCAGTGGAAATGCTACTGATGGTTAGATACCAGCAGCAACTGTGCTGACAATTAATTCTGCCATGATCTGGTCAGTGCTGAAGCAGCATTGGAAGAAACCAGGCCTGCTTGTACCCGCTGAACAAGTTGTTGCCATCAATAAAGGACAGCATCTTTAGTACAGAATCAGGATTTAAGAAAAATACTAGTGTAGGCAAAAATTTGCCTACACTAAGTGAACCAGCAGGACCAGCATAAAGAGACTGTACCGTAGAAGATAAAACATAAACTGATTTCCTTGAAAAAGCAAGTGTGCAGGGAACTAAAGCATTAAATTACAGTGTACCAGCTAGTTTTCTGTGGACAATGCGTGTTGTTTCACTTGCAGTCCCTATTTTTTTTTCAGAGGGCCATTGCAATGAGAAGTAAAGCAGCTGCTGTAAAGCTTGGAGAGTGATATGATTCCTGTGAACAATTGTAAAAAATTTCAGAGATATTTATGAATGGAAAGCATTATATGTATAAAATGTATTATAGACAGGATTGTGTGTTTGACTATCAGTGAAGTATCTTCCATTTAAGGTAATGCATAAAGTTACTTGAAACCATTAAATTAATTTCTCCTCTCTGTTCTTTGTGAGATTTTTATCATTTACACAGTGAGAAGACAATCCCATTTGAGGAGTTTCTAATTCCTGCAGGTATGCCCACTGAAACTGGTGGCAGAGTTAGGTTTAAGTCGTTAGAAGATCACACGCTTGATAAGAAATAATGGAGTAAGTGAAGAAAAAGAATGGAAAACAAAAACTGCTTCCCTTGCAAGTGATGGTAATTTTTTAAAAATTTGTTTTCTTGCTGAACATTGTTCTTTTCCAAGGTGCTAAAGATAACTAAGGTACTGTAAGCTATTATTCTGATTGTTTGTTCAGCACTCAATATTTAATATGCATTTTACAGAACAAATAAAATAAATGCCTTTCCCTGTAGAGCTTGCAAGTTAAATTTTGTCACAGGTGAGAGCACCAACTAGAAGAGAGGACCATAAAGAAGAAATATAGATATACAAGAAAGGCTTTACAATCCTCTTCATCCCCTGGACATCACAAAGTCACAAGTGCCCATGTGATTACCTGCCACAAGGGTCTGTCTGCTGTCTGTGCAGCTCCTCTCATTAATCACATTGCCATATGTTGGTCCTCATGGGATCTAATGGTTATGAGCAACAACCACATACAGGATCCCTTTACTTCTGCTCCTTGGCTAGTACAGTCCATGCAAACAGTTCTCATGCATCGGGAAGGCTTGCATGAAGGTAGGGTCGTGCTCTGCTGGTCTCCTGGCTGCTCACCAGCTGCCCATATGGTTGCCACAATGCAACATTAATTTTCCAAGGCTGCATGCATCTGATGTATAGTACCATGCTGTGTAAGTCAGCACACTACTGAAAGTTATAAATTCATATGTAAGACTGAAATTATTAAAGTAACCCTTCTCATGGCTTCCCAAGTGTGCATGTGTTTTGAGAGCAGAGGTACCAGAGCTGTAATTTTGCATAATGCAGTGCTAAACTGTATGTTACAGTGACATTAATGAACCTTGGTCATCAAACTGCAGTCTCTACATAGATGACACACCCACTGAGGAAAATAAATTATCCAGAATAAGGATTGCGGCTTTGGGCACTATAAACACACACAAATCAGGGAGAGAAAATGTTTTTTAATGCACTGTTATCTCAGCTAAAAAGAATTGCACACACTGTGTACATCAAAGTATCAATTTCATACCCAAATTGGTAAACGTAGTATGTACGGGCTATGTGAGCAAGTTCACATTACGTGAAAAATCTTTACTATGCACTTAGTTCCTGCTTTTCATACTGTATTAAGGCAGAAGCCTATATGTAATAACCTTGACCTCTTTGAAATACAAGAGGGGAAAACAGAGTAAGTGTGGCAAGTTATGTAATTGGGTTTTGGAAATCTTTAGGTTTTTCAGTTCAATTATCCTCACTCTATTTTTAGGGAGGGGGAAGCACAGAACTGTATAAAGTGGCAGCTATCTTAATAAATATATCTTACTTTTTGGTTTCTGTATGGATGAAAACTGTCAAGAAACTTCCCTTAAGGAAGATGCTTAATTTTTGTTATGTATAGGTCTTTCAAAATACTTTATTAGTAGATACTTCCTGGATCAAAACATCTAGAGTTATATTTGTACTAATTAAATAGGCAATGTAAGGACCTTTCTCTAGCCCTACAGCCAGCTGACCTAGCTTGACCACCTCCATGGTTTAAAATTGGTTTAGCTCTAAAATAGAGTGACTGCATGCAAATTGCCTGCTGGGGAGGTCGCTGGCACATGCTCTTTTGTAGTCCATGCCCAGGAGTTGCCTATGAGCTATCCATTTCACAGCCAGACTTTGCTAACCACCTAACTTACAGATAGTTGGGCATAAAGGAGTGGATCTGGGTGCTGAAATGGCCCAGGGGACCATTTAGCAGTAGAGAAAGGGCCTGGAAGGTCTTCTTGTGCATCTGGCTTCAAGGCAGGGTCCTCTGCTGGATGGGGTGCTCAGACATACCTGTAGGTTCAGAGCACAGACAGCCTTTGTCCTGTCTTCACTGAACTCTGCTGTGATCTGTGTTCAGCAAGGTGAACGAGAGTTTGACTGTCTTGTAACACATAGGCATTCAGGTTGACTTCAGCAAGATGTGTGTTTGTCCTCAGGGGAACACCTCCTGGAAATCAGAAGCACATGGGGAGCGGTGGGTCCCAGTAAGAGATTACCATTTAGTGTTATCCTAATACTGCAATATCTGCTGGATTCATTTTCAGATAAATACTGAATGTTTTTCTTGAAAACTCTTTAC